TTCATGCTATCACAATGCACAGTGCCTATCTTTACCACAGACCATGCTACCTTTTATTATAGTTATCTGTTTATATTATCTCATCACTTAATGGCAGCTTCCATGGGAGCAAGAACAATATATTACATCCCCAAACTCAGTCCATAGTAGATGTTAAACCATAAATAAATATCTTTACTAATAAATGATGAACAAATCCTTTGTTGATTTTCTTCTTCTCCCCTACTTTTGAAGAGGTAAGACTGTTCAGTATGATCCTTCCTGCACTCTCTTCCAAGGAGTTCGGTGTCATGGTTAAGATCATGGGCTTTGGATTCAGGCACAGCTGAAGCATCCTAGCTCTATTATTTATTAACTGGAGGAACTTGGGCAAGTTACTTAACCCCTCTGAGTTTCACTCCCCCACAGATGCAAAATGAAGATAATAGAATCCATCTTATGTGGTTCTTGTGAGGCTTAAACAAGGTTGTGTATGGTTCTGTGTTTGGTACGTAGTAAATATTCCCTTAAAATTCTGGTTATGATCATTCCTCCACCCTACTCCTTTCTTCAATTCCAGCCTATGTTGTCCAAAGTCTGAGGAGAAGGCATGATTAAGATTGGAAATGTGAAACAAATAAAATCTTTTTAGTGTATCTTTAACCTGAAGTTTCTGCATTTGTTCCAAGAAATGTTAAAAGAAAAGGGACTTCGTTGTAATTCTAGCTGTCTTTATTTTTCTTCCAAGACAAAGGCATCAGAAAAACGCACAGCAGCAGCTAGCACACTGAGCCACCGCCAGCGAGCCTGGACCAAAGCAATGGTGCTGCTGCTCACGGCAGAGGGACTGAGCCACAGAGACAGAGCTCATTAATGCTAATGGCCTTTGTGTAGCTAATTAGCACCATATCACACTCAATATTTACCCTTGTGTGCCGACAAATTTCTACTTTCTCCTTGGGAAGCAAGCTGTTTTTCTACCTGACCCACAACAAGGCAAACCTCTGATGCCAGACAGCAGCTCCCTGTCTGCCTAGATGGATTAGCTAGAGGGAAGCTGAGGGCCTGCCACTCCAGGAGGAAGGGAGCATGTGGTTCTCATTCCAACCCTGGGTGGAGTGTTGGGCAGCTGAAGTCTTCACCCAGTGATGGTGCCATTTTCATGATTCAACCATGTGCAGCTGTCAGCCCCAAGTGTCCTTCCACAACAACCATGTGCTCAGCCTTCTCCTCCTTCCTTTGGAGGAGGTATTTCTCTGGGAGAAACAGGGCCTGGGAGAAGGAGGTGAACCACCAAGAAAGGGATTTTGAGGGTCTGTCTAGGCAGAAAGCTCCTAGAGACCTGCCCACAATCCACTCAACAACCTTCAACAACCTTTAACAGAGCTCCTGAGCTGAGCCATGCCATATGCCAAGGGCTGGGGACACAAAGATGGGCAAGACAGTGGGCAAGTCCCTGTTCTTGGGAGCTCTCAATCTACCTGAAGACCGACCTGTAGCAATTATGATACAAGGTGATAAGGAAGGTGGAGAGCTGAGTATGAGGAAAGGACCACTCAGGTCAGACCAGGGGGATCAAGAAGGTCTGGATGGAGGAGGACTCACTAAACTGTTGAAGCACCTCGTGCCCACCTCTATCAGAGAGTACGGGCACATTCCCTGTCTTCTGAAGCAACAGACTTGGAATCTGAAGATGTGTCACAGCTGTGGTTCAGCATGAAGTGATGCAGACACGGATGCTGCTTTAGGTTATAGGATGTGCTTTGGAGACCAGCAGGATAATAATTGCTCCATTAGCAGGAACTTGGGTTTCATTCTCTCAGAGGTCTCCCTTCTTAGTTCACCGCAGCATTCTTCTAAGGTCCCTCCGAGCTTCCACCCACCATCTTGCTCTACAAGCAAATACTCATCACATAGATGACCGCAGGGCTGGTGGTTTCTCATTATGACCCAAGGGATGCTGGCTTGAAGCCAGTCCCTCAACCCTGTAAATTGCTTGGTTGGCCAATGCCCAGCTGCTAAATGCACTGGCATTCCCGCCCTGCCACCAACCATATCCAAGTTGAAGCTGTCTTGGGACCATCCATGTAGAGCACCAAGAAAGAGAGCCTGAGCACACCACCTCCTTTACCCCCGGAGATGTGGAGGGTTGGGCATTCTCTGCTTTAAGATAGGAGCTGAGGGCGGGGCGCGGTGGCTCACGCCTGTAATCCCAGCACTTTGGGAGGCTGAGGCGGGTGGATCACGAAGTCAGGAAATCGAGACTATCCTGGCTAACACAGTGAAACCCTGTCTTTACTAAAAATACAAAAAATTAGCCGGGCATGGTGGCAGGCGCCTGTAGTCCCAGCTACTCTGGAGGCTAAGGCAGGAGAATGGTGTGAACCCAGGAAGCAGAGCTTGCAGTGAGCCCAGATTGCACCACTGCACTCCAGCCTGGGCAACAGTGCGAGACTCCATCTTAAAAAAATAAAATAAAAGATAGGAGCTGAGACTAGATGATGGTCTCTTGCTGCAAAGGTAACCACAACCAGTGGCTTCTCATCAAACACCAGTGCCTGACCACCCACTCATCACACTCATAGACACACACATACCATAGCCTCTTGTCAGCTTCTGTTCTCCAGAGCACCACTGAAGACTGTGTGGGTGGAGTTGTCCAACAAGGCCCCATGAATGGGCTCCTTGCTGGCCATTCTCTTTGAGATGAAAGGACTGCAGATCAAGCTGTATTGTCAGAGAAGGACTCAGTGTCTGTCACCACATTATGTGCTGCTAGATAGCTGAGCCTACACAAGGAAGTTGCAGGATCAATGTGGGGGCTGGCTTTTCCCCAGTGGATCATTCCCATGGAGCTCTCCATAGGCCTGAAGTGGCCCAAGGAATTGAATTACACCACAAAAGGATGTCCAGCCCCACCTAGCCCTGCCCAACCTGCTACCTGGAGCTGGCTTCTAAGTAGAAAAGAAGACTGTATAGTTGGCACAAGCTGGTGCCTACTTCTGGGTCTCAGTTGCCCTGAAGCTATTTCTATGTTATCTCCACAGCTGTCCCAGTCTCTATGCCTTTCATTCTCTCCTTAGGTGAGCCTAAGGGCATTGTTTCAGGACAAAACTAGACAAACAGCTGAGAGAGAAACAGCCTTGGTTTCAGTGCAAGTCCTGCCCTCGTAAGTTCCAACCCTTCCCCACTGGCCTGGCCTGGGATACACCCAGACTTACAGCAGCCACACACACACGCCCAGCCTGATTTGGGCTGGGGCTACTTCCCCCACATATAACTGTCCTCTCCCCTACAACATACACACATACACACAGAGCCTCCAGGAAACTGCCTCAGCGTGCTCAGAAAGAGAAATGCACAAAATTTTCAAATGCCAGAGCTGAGAAGAAATCTAGAAGTCATCCAGCTTAGCATCATCTTGACAGATGGCTGGAACCAAAGCCTTGAAAGGAGAATCTACTTGTCTACTGTCACCTGGCATGTTCCTAGTACATCCTTGTCTCCTGACTTCCAGAGCAGTGCTCTTCACAGATCATTAAGTTGCCTCCTGGCCTGTACCTTCAGCAACTACCACATCAGCTTCTGCTCAGGTTCTTCCCTCTACTGCAGAGTTGATCAGAAGCTGGCAAGTATGACTGATAAGGGGTTTTGAGATTTAGCCTCCATCTGAAGAAGCTGGGCTATATGGTATGCTGGTTAGCAAAGGGAATCAGAACATGCCATCCAAAGTATACCACTGAAGGCAATTAAGATGCAGCAAATGCAGAAAGAGCTCTCTACCTTCTTTCTATCTGCCTAGAAGCAGTGCATAATTTTCCCTTGGTGAAGGTGTTCCCCTTTCCCTGTTCTGTACAGTGAACAACCCTTATATTGGAGACAAAACGTCAGTGCCCACATGGGTCTACATAAGTAAACCTTACTAAAACAACCCTTATCTTACCTCAAATATTAGTTTTCCTCATATATTCACCTTCCCACAGTAAACTCTAGCCCAGCCACCCCTTAACCTATTTCCCTTGTTCTCCACATTTTATTATCCTTTGTTAAGATGGTACATAAGCCCCAAATTCTAATACCCCTTTGAGTTACTCATCACAGAGCTCAACCACATGTATGCCTGTTACACGTGTAAATAAACTCTGTATTTTTCCTCCTGCTAATCTACCTTTCCTCAGTTTAATTCAAAGGCTCCAGGCACTAAACATAACACAGTAGAGGACACATATTTTTCTTCTCCTACATTAGGAGCCCAACTATAGCAGCACCTAGGTCTGAATCCCAGTTCAGTCACTAAGTAGTGGTATAACCTTGGCAGGTTACTTTACCTCTCTGGGTCTCAGTTTCATCATTTGCTAAATGGAATAATAATATAACCTACCTCACAAATTGTTGTACATATTAAATGAGCTAATATTAAAGAACATGTCACAGAGTCAACACTATATGAACCTAGGCTATTATTATTATTAGGGTGCTTATTGTAAGTGTAGATTCAAGTCCTCACCCTTAGAGAATCTGATTCAATACATCTGTGTTGGGAACCCATAGTCTGCATTTTAGCAAACACCCCCAGTGACTTTAATGGGAGTGGTAGGGTTGGGTGGCTCCAAGGATAGTATTAGGAGAAATCTTGCTTTCAAGGTTGGGGAAGTGTGTATTGATCCCATTCTGGTAGGTAAAAGGCTTTCAATGGCCCTATTAGCTTTCTTGTCTGAATCTCTACACCCACATTTCTCAAAGTCGTCTCCTGCTAGGAAGGCTTATTAAAAGACTAATTATCAGGCTTCATCCCGAACTTCCTGATCCAACTCTTGAGCTAGGCTTTGGGAAACGGCCTTTTAAATACTACCCTCCTGCCAAGGTGATACAGAGGTGCACTGAAGCTTGGGATTCACTGACAAAGAGTGGGTTTCCATGGCCCGGCCCAGTCCAGCATGTTGGAATGCTGACCACTGAAGATCCCTGTGGACTGGCGCTGCTGACAAGAGAGCCTTGGGTTGTCCTGTGCTCCCCCTCACCTCACCCACTCAGGCTGCCACTCCATAGATCTTGTTCCCAGCCTGGGTGGCATTTCCATGCCAGCTCCTCATTTCCTGCCAAGAACAGAGCCGGCCTCTCTGATCCACTGGCTCTCTGCCCAGCCAGGCAGTAGGTGGCGTCCGTGAAGACCGCTTTGCCCTCTTCTCCCTCCAGACTGCGAGGCTGTGCTGCAGAGGGAGAAGAAGAGATCAGGAGCATCATTTAGGAGGCTGCTCAGACCAAGCATAGGGAGCAGCCAGGAAGATAATCTCTAGCCCAGACAGCCCCTCCCACCCTGCCCAGACCTCCATGTACTCATGTAAAGATAATTCAGTTACTGGGAATGCAGACCGGAGAGATAACCTGATTTAGAAGCTGAAACCATGTGAACTAGGGAGGGAGGCTGGGGTGCAGGAAACAGCTCCTACCAACCCAGGAAGGCTGAAACAATAAACAGGGAAAGGGAAATTGGGTAGAGAAACAGTGGGTGGCTGCCCAGACAGTGTTATTGCTGGTTTGGGTGTTAGCAGGTGGAACCCCCACCCTCAGTCAATCCAAGAGTTCACTCACCCCTGTGAAACCCTCTGTGAATTCTTTTTCTAGAGTGTTCAGGTAACCATCATCTGGCTTATACAGCCATCCAGGGAGGAGATAAGTAGAGAAACCTATAAAGTGTCAGGAAGGAAAAAAAAAAACTTTGCTAAGATTTAATTTGAGTCATTGATCACCAACTACCCTAGGAACAAGTTATTTCAGTGTGAGCCATCATCTGTGAAAGCTGATGGCTTGACTGCTGCAGGATCCTCAGGGGAGGAAGCTTCTGTGATGCTCAGATCAAGGTCAGAGGTTTGGGGAACCTTCCTCCCCATCTTCTTCCTTCATATCAGAGAGCCAGCATCCCCTGGCCAAAGTCCAGAGAGGCCTTCCTCCTCCATCAGCCCAGCTATAGCGCCCCTTCTATAGTCTCACATCCTTTGTTGCCTGGAAGTTCTCCCTGCAGTCTCGTTTCCATACACCTGCATCTTTGGAGGGAAATGCTCCGGTGGAAAGCAGACTAGCTTGCCCCTATAAAGAAAAGGAAGTGACTAAGAATCTTGGAAAGCAGTTCCTTCCATTTATCTCTGTCTACTTCTTCTCCTGGCATAGGGAGATCTTTCTCTGCAAATGATTTGCCTTTTTTATAACCTGCCTATTCCATAGCAGATGAGTTCAAGATAGTGAAGATCAGTCCTGAGACATTTTAGACTAGATCTGTAGACGGAAACAACAGAGCAGGGGCCCACCCACTCTGCAGGTGCCAGCTAGTGAGACCAGACACAACCACCAGATTCACTGTGGGTCATTGGGGCGGGAGGTGGCTGCACCCTGCCTTGGGGAACAGCTGCCTCTGCGCAGCCCTGGGAGCTCCTACATTAACTAGGCAGAGGACAAACCAGCAAAAAAGGAGTTAAGCGACAGCCAGACATCCCCCCCAACCCTCTCCTACTGGACCCAGATGAATAACCAGTCAGTAAAATGACCCCAATGGAAGGAGTCCAGAATCGTCCACGCTGATCTCAGGAGGTATCTGCACTACTCATAGCACAAATCAGATCACTCAGACTGAAGGTGGGGGTGGGGGTGGAGGGGAGACAAGGGAGAAGACATCACTTGAGCAGGGACCAGCCCAGGGCAGAACCTTCAGCTCCTGGGGCCTGGACCGGGAATTTTTATTAGAAGAGAGTGCTCTCTGACGGACCTGGCCCCTTTGAGTCTGCATGTCTGTGCTTTTTCTCTTGAGAATTTGTTAGCGCTCATGCAGAGGCGTTCCCTGTTGACTTGCCTTTCCCTGGTGTGGTAAGGCAACAGCGAGCCTTCTGGCAGCTAATCCCTCCCCAAAGCTGTCAGGATGAGATGAATTACTAGGAGAAAAATAAATCAGATTTGTGAGAGCATCAGAAAGGCTGAGGCCTCAGAGTCTGACAGAGACCAGAGACCCCCACCCTTCCACTCTGGTGGAAGCACCTACTCGGCGGCCTGGACTGTCCCCACAGCTCCGCCCTCTCCCGGCCCCAGCTCCTGCCCAACGAGAGGAGATAGCTGCCCCTTGTCTTCCCTCAACATCCCATGGGCTCCTCTGCCTGCAGCTTGGTCCTTGGGAAAAGCCTGCAGATGTATAGGCCTCAGCTGCCGGCGTTCCACCTTGCCATTCCTTCTGCTCACAGCCTCTGAGCACCCCCCTGAGTCCCTCTCTCTCTCAGCGCGCCCATGGTGTCTGATAGGCATGGGGCAGGAAGAGCAGGCTGACCTCTGGATCCAGAGACTCCCAGCTTGAAGGGGTCACTCCTCACTCAGGTTGGAGTGCCACTCTCCTGGGACCTGCACTGCTGTGACCTGCCATTAGCTCAGAGGGCCCTATCCAAAAAAAAAGCAGGACTATTCATTTCATTACAGGCCCAGCTGGGAGCAGTGGCCCTTTCCTCTCTAGAATATTCTACCCTATCATAATCCTCAGGCTAAGCCTGCAGCGACAGTACTCAGGAAACCCCACCTCCTCAAACCAAATTACATGTCCCCAGTTTGAGAACAATGTGAGCTAAGTCTAATAAAGTTATAAAAATGTCAATGGGTTGTTTGTGTGGGAAGCGAATGGCTGAAGGTGGAAATGTGGTATCATGAAAAAGGCTACAGACTTGGACTCAGGAGTCATGGATCCTGGTCTCAGGGCTCATTATCTCAGCAGGGACCCCCGCCTGGGTTCCTCCTGACCTGGAGGAAGGCCGCGTTCCATCATTGGCTGCTGAGGTCTCTCTGATGATGAGTTAGGGAGCTTCCTTGGAAGCTAAAGTCATTGTTAAAATAATTGTTAAAGAATAATGGGCGTAGAAAGCAAATTGAGAACGAAGGGAGAGAATGAGGAATGAGAGATCAGGGACACAATCTGAGAGCTGGGAGCTGGCACCCAGCCCAGGAAGCAGTGCTGTATTCCTAAGGCCAAGAGGCCCAAGAGTTCAGCCAGCCATCCTTACCCAGAGCCAGGTCCTGGAGAAGCACTTGGTGGGGGATGCTCCAGGGTAAGTCCAGGGACCAGGGAGCCCCCGATAGGTGCCTCAGTCTCCTCCCTAGGAAAGCTGCATCCTCAGTTGGCTCAGGGTCTAGTGGGGCCCAGCCAGCTGACTGGGGAACCTGGCTACATCATGCCTGAACTGTCCGACCTGAGTGTGATTTATCTCAAACCTCCACTGGGTGGCAGAGCAGTGGGGCATGGTAGAAAGAGCACCAGGTTAGCTGGGCATTCTTGAGCAGGCTGTTGACCCTTGTGAGCCCCGACTGGCCATCTGAAAACATCGCTAAAACATCCATACTCTGCAGGGTTGTTCTAAGGATCAGATGCAACGAATGAGGAGCACTGCAGACAGCCTTTAGCAGCAATGGGTAGTCATCTTGTGTTAGTTATTAGACAGTCTCATAAACAGTATGAATATTATAAGGAGGAGAACAATGCCCACCCCTCAGGGTAATCATTCTTCAGACACAGATGAGGCCAGGAGCAATGGTAGCTCCCTCTCCTGTCCAACTTCCTCCACTCTCTGCACCCCTTCCTCTCCCAGGCAGGACCCAGGAAGCCAGAATGCGCAGGTGAGCCCAGCGGTGGATCCAGCTGTGTAAATCTGGAGAAAGCAGAGAGAGGCAGGAAAACCGAAGTGTCTTAGAACCATTCATGTAAACTGTTTAGACTCTGAGGGTGCAAAGATTAATGTGAAAATCCCATTCTGAGAAGCTAGTGGCCATACATCAGCAGCGCCTTCAAGATTGAATACGAATCCAAGGTTTGGGGGGAAGTAAGTAATGTGCCGATTAAGGAATCACAGCTCTGAGAGAGATGAGACAAAAATCTCTCTCTCCTCTTCACTCAGTCAAGCCCAATTTATGGCTCATATTTCTAGCAAAAGTGTCTGAGAGAAGCAGAGCCTCGCAGGCACCGAGAGGTCTGACCAGGGAATGGGCCTCTCTGGAAGGAAGGAGGAAGCCAACCTCTGCATTCATGGCTACAAGAAGGGGCCACTGTGAGGGCAGCCAGTGGGCCCTGGCAGAGGGATACCTTTGGCTGGGCAGCCAGAGAAGCTAAAAGTACTTCAACTGAAAGAAAAAATGTCCTTCTCCACCTAACTATTCTTCGCAACCAGGCGGAGAAATTGACAATGTTGATTCATTTAGCTCAGCAGTATTCAGGTCAAAATCAATCTTGTCAAAAATCCATCACCACACTCAATAAGTAAGAAAAGGGATACAGGATCCAGGGGGAAATCAATCACACCCCAACAGGGAGCAGCCAAAAACAGATCTATCATGGCCCCTTGATGGAGGCTTCCATTACTTAACGTGCTATTTCCTGAAGGCACCCTGGGGACCCCACCCAAGGTCATGGGCACCAGCCCCCAGCAGCAGCCAGAACTAAGATGGCCCAAGAACAGGTGGTCACTCTACTGATTATCTCTCTGCTTCCCAAGCATCAACATTCAGCAGGCTGGCAAGGCCCAGCAGAAGTCATTTCATACATTCCTTAACTTCAAAAATCATTGTCACATAACTCTCCTGCTGTCCCCAAATCACTGTGGCTGCCTCGTATCTGTAGGAAGGGGAAATAATAGCAGCCTATCAGCTTCTCCACCGGACCAAGCTCAGGCTGCTTTAGTCTCCTGCTGGGAAAAGCAGAGTGGTCCCTGCAGAGCTTCTCAGTCTTAAGGAATCACAAGATGCAGAAGTCAAGACTTGCTTCTTTGTCCCTGAGCCAGAATCCAGCATCCCCTGAGGGTGGCATTATGGAAACCCTGATTCCTCCAGACTCAAAGGAAGTGTATGGGTGGGGCCACAGAAAGTTCCCCGGGAGCCCGGTGATGGCGAGGCCTGGGTCTCATCCCCACCATTCACTAGCTATGTGAGTTTGAGCCAAATATTAAACGTCCATATGCCTCACTTTCTCATATGTAAAATAGAAATCATAACAACGCACACCTCTTAGGATTGTTGAAGATTCAATGGGACTTCTCATGTGGAGAACTGACATACAGATAGTGCTAAGTAGGTGAAAACTCTCATTAGACAATGGTTCCTTTGGGCACTGGGTTTTTGCTTCTCTTCTCATCTTTCTACCACAAACAACTTCTAGAAAATGTTCATTCATTTATCATTCAGCAAGTATATATTGAACATCAACTGTTCTAGACCTGTTCTAAATGCTGGAGGGACGGTGTACACGGGAGGTGGCAGGGGACAGATAACCTATAATCAAATCAAATAATGGCAGATAATAATAAACAGGAAAATGAACTAGAGAGTGACTGGGATGTCATGGGGGAATATTTAAAATTGATACACCAAAGGCCTCTCTGATGCTGGAGATACTTCAGTTGAAGCCCAAGTGCTAGGAAGAAGTCAGCCACAAGGAGATCTGGAAGGACAATGTTCCAGGCAGTGAGAATGTGGGGGGCTGATGGGGGGAGCTGGGGAGAGCTGAAGGAGGGAATGGCACGGAGAGGTAGGTGGGACAGATCAGGCAGGCCCAAGGAGGTCACGCCAGGACACTGTGTCCTTAGTCTAGATGTAATGTGAAGCTGCTGGAAGTGATGTCTGATAATGTATTTTCAAAAGCACATGAAAAGTGCTATTTGGAAAATGGATTTATGCAGGACAAGAGCAGAAGGAAGATGAATTAGGAGGCTTTTTCAGAGCTCAGGGGAGGAAGGTGATAGTTTTGTTTAGGGAGGTAGTGTAAATAAGTACTAGGGTATAGGAAATATTTTGGAGACAATAGCACTTGCTGATAAATTAGATGTGGAAGATGAGAGATGACAGGAATCAAGGATTTCTCCAGTTTCTGTCTTGAACCACCAGATAGATTGGATGCTAATTATTGTTATGGGGAAGACTCAAGGAACAGGTTGGGATGGGGAAGTGCAATTAAGAGCTCTGTGAGAGTTAAAGTGCATATTAAATATCCAAGTGGAGATGTCACGTATGAGTGGTTAGACTTGAGAGTCATTGGCTAGTGGATGTTATTTAGAGTCACAGGACTGGGTGAAA